GCCGCTGCCCCGCCCTCCCTCCACCCGACGCCGTCCTGCCACTGGGGCGCGGGTCTGGCCGCGCCTCCGGATGCCCGAAACGCCGGCTGCTAAATAAGCGGCCCGAGAGCAGAGCAACCGCTTGGGCGGCACCCGCCGCCCCCACATCACGCACAGCCCACCCGGCACGCAATGCGCCCGCAGACAATAGGAGCACTTAGTGCACCCCGGACCCCAGCAACACCAAAAAGTAGAAAACCTCTGCAGTCGCTGTGGGGGTGGAGGGCCGGGCAAAGAACGGCCAGGGCGCCCCTTTCGATGGCGCACGCGCAACCAGCTGGGTGAGTGGATGTGTGCTGGGCCAGCGGGGGCACTGCAGACGACCGCATCGCGCGGCGCGGAACCCGGTCTCTACAAAACCATCCTGGCACGTTGACCGTCGCAGCGTGCAGTTGCGCTGGCGCAAGTGGTGCCGCGTTCTGCTACACTTTCCAAACTTCCGGCACCTAAGGTCGGGGGTGCCCTGACCCACTCGCTCCCGCAACGGCGGCCTGGGCGCTCCTGGCGGCGTTGAGGTCCTTGTGAACGGTGCGCCCAAGGCCTCCCAGGCTCTACCCAGTGCCGGGAGGCCGGCCTATCGCGCCTTCCGCCGGCAAGTGCCCGCGATGTGTTTTTCCACCGCTCGTCGCGAAGCCGCACTGCGGGCATAAAACTGCCCGCCCCACATGCATCACGCAAGTGCGCTTCGAGCCATTCTTTGAGCTTTCGCCCCAGCGACTCCAGGCTTGTAAACAGACACTCTCGCACTCCTTCGCAGTGAAGTGGGTCTGCTCCAATAGAGCGTGCGCCGAAGTCTGGCCCTTCTCCACCCTCCTATCCATTACGATCTGCTTCTCCTGCTTGGGCCCGCTAGCATTTCACTGGACGACCTGCAGGGCCGGACCCGGATCCAATTCCACACACTGCTTGCCCAAAAAAGCAGCTGCTGAAGAATCTTCATTGCGAGAGATGTCGCTACACATTGGCACACGTAACCGTTGGGAGAGAAAACCCCCACTTTTGTCCCGGGCCTCCTTTGCACAGCACCACTTAACGCCCCACTTGGCGTCACCATCAACCAAAAACAAGTCGAGTAAACCAACGGCTGGCAACTGGCTTTTTTTTTGAGGTACTAACACTTTTGCACCACGCTGAGGTGGATGGGCACTTGTATCTCTTCCTTTTTGCGTTTTTTTTTCCCGCGTGAAGGACGCAGATGCTTGCGGTGTGAGTCTCGTGCGTAGCGTGGGAATGCAGTGTTTGGGGACTTTGCTTTCATTGTTTTTCTGTTTGCTCTGCCTACACACACACACGCAGGCACAACTGCCGAGGTCTGGGCGGATCCACCACAAGGAGGGGAAGAAGAGAGAGAGTGAGTGAGTGAGTGAGTCAGCAGCAACACATACCCAACATGCCCCGCACCTGTTTTTTTTTTCTGCGGTGCTTGATGCTCCTCTGCGTCTTGATGTGCGGCGGTGGAAGTGGAGTTGCGCACGCTAAGGAAGAGCAGGCGAAACGTGTTGAACTCCTCAAACCAGGGAAGTGTCAGTGTCTACTTGTGACGGAAAAAGCGAAATTTCTGTTCCTGAGCGATTTGTTTCCTCATTCCGTGGTCATTGCTTTGTTGACATGAATGGCGTAGTGGCCGCTCTTGCTGTGAGTGAAGACTGAGGCGGTGCCAATCATTACTTGGATGCTGGCATTTGGGCAAGTTACCACCCGTACGGGGCAGAGAGTAAGTTGGTACAAGACGCTGCATGGGATGAACAACAGTAGGAAACGCCGCAGCCTGTGACCGACCATCTGCAGAAGGAAAAATTATATTTTCCATCGTTCGGTTCTGGGGCTGCGGTGAAGGGCAACGGGATATTTTTTTCTTGTATCAAACATCACTTTGTCCAGTGCTGATGTTTTGCAGCAGAGTTTTCACTGGGACCTTGCGTTGGTTGCTGGCCAAGTTTCAGGGTCTGCGGCACCATAAAAAAGGAATGAAGGGAATCCACTCTCATGGGTGATTCCCCGATCGTTGAGGTCCATGCTTGAAAACGAAATTAGGGGGAGCCCATTGAAGGAACTGAAAGCTGCTCGTGGGGACAGAAGCATTGCAGCCGGGGGTAATACCATTGCCTTTCCTCTTGCGGGAACCATCGGGTACGACGGACAAGGGGAAATGAGGCATGCATGCAGCGTCACTTCCTCTGAGGACGATTGGAGTAATTGGAGATTTCATGCGGTGCCTGTGATCGCCAACGACTGCGACACTGCCACGCTTCTCGAGTTGGAGAGGAAACTTCTCATGTTCACTGCAATCTCTTCTTCGTGGTGGCGCATGGTGTGCGAATCCGCTGACAATGGGAAAACGTGGGCAGAGGCCACTGGGCCACTCTCGCATCCGTTGAGCGAATCAAATGCTTTTTTCTGCGTTAAATGGTCGTTTCGACCTTCTCACTACAACCATTGGGGAGAATACTGTACTACTGTGCACCCAAGTGGCATTCATTAGTAATACACAACAAAGCGACAACAAACTTAGCGATGGTCGCAGCGCAATTTACCTATGGCTCTCTGATGGGGCTTGGGTCTTTGACGTTGAGCAAATATCTGCTGATAATGCGGGATACTCCTTCAGCACGCTGTTGCACGCAAAAGATGTTTTTTTTTGCTCTCTACTCACAGAAAGGGGAACATGGAGGGCTAGACAGTCTTGTTTTTGTCCACCTGAAAGAGCAGCTGCAGCACATCAAGTCCGTGCTTACTAAATGGAAAGAGTTGGATGACTGGGTCGCAACGCTTTGCGGCTCCACTACCACCACCACTGCAACGAAGGACGGCGCAGAAGGTGCTGGCTGTGTCGGTCCTCTGCCAACGGCCGGGCCGATTGTTTTTTTTGTCTAACAATGCCAGCGATACTCACTGGAATGACGAGTGCCTCGGGGTGGGTGCCACGGTGTCTACGTGGACGACGACGAAGGTTGAGAATGGCTTCCGGTTGGCAGGGCGTGGCCACGGATTGTGTGGCCAGTGGTCAGGCAGGAAGGTAATGCAGTGTGCAGTTATGTGGGTGAGGAGCTGACGCTTGTGG